GGGGGGGGGAGGGCAAAGAGTCAGGATTGGGAGAGGGGGGAGGATTGGGAGAGAGAGGGAATTGCACAACATTCAGTTGCTCTGTGTTTGATTATTGTTAATGCTCACTGTGACTGATTGTCCAGTCTTGGGTATGGACTCAGAGAAAATTAGATAAATTGTAGACACTGCCAGTAGGCAAAGCCGAAGCATACAGCAGACATTTGAAAGCACTGTGGATTTTCAATCTGTTGCACTCCTGGAAACTAGTGTCAGCTTTGCAAAAATCTGAGATCTGAGGAATACAGCACAGGGGAAATGACAGGTACACAGTGGGAGTGAGAGGGAGAGAAAATAAGAGAGAGAGAGAGAGAGAGAGAGAGACAGAGACAGAGAGAGAGAGAGAGACAGAGAGAGAGACAGAGAGAGAGAAAAAGGGAAAGGGGGAGATCAAGAGACAGAGAACAAGAAAGGGAGGTGGAGAGGGAGAATGAGAGACAGCAAGAGAAAAAAAGAAGAGAGAGAGAGAGAGAGAGAGAGAAAATATGACAGAAAGAATGATCAGGGAGAGAGAACAAAAGACGGACAGAGAAGGGGAAAGAAAGAGGTGAGAGAAAATGAGAGAAAGAACAAAAATGGGATAGAGTGAAAATGACAGAGAAAGAAAAAAGAAGTGAGAATGAGAGGGGGCAGAGAATGGGGATAAACAGAAGTCAGACATGCAAGGAAAGGGCACGGAGAAATGAGTGAGGGGTGAGTGATTTACAGTCTGGGAGGGAGAAGGTAACAGTGAAGAGGGAAAATGAGGGTGATACTGGTGCAAGGGGTAATGTCAGGGGAGGGAGTGTGAGTGTGCGTCGTACTTAGGGAAGAGATTTAACTGGGAGGGAGTGTGGATGTATAATATGAGGGATAGGGAGGGGGCGATGAGCTGGTGGTGAGGATAAGCAAGAGAGAAAAAAAAATGAGTACATACAGGGCGAATCTCCTCACGGTCAAGTTTCCGCCGGTACAGCAACATGGCGTGAATGGTGTTCCCAGCTCGAGCTGCCTGCTTTGTGGTTGGAACAATGTACAAATAATCCTGCAAAAAAAAAACACATCATGAGTCACCGGCTACAGGCATGGTACAGACTCACACTCACACACACAGGCACTAATGCGTGCATGCGCACACATACACACACATGTAGACACTAACACACATACATAGCCATTAATACTCATACTAACAGACACACTTACTTACACTAACACACACATAGGCGTTAACATTCACAAACGCACAATTACTAATCACTCTCACACATCCATTCACACTCAATCCACTAGACAGACCACGTGGCATTCTCGGGCAAGGCAAACACCTCCTGGTGCTTGAACATCTCAATCCTGGCAAGTTACTGCGCTCTGGATCTAGAATATCTAACGGTGAAGTGCCGCCCCTACTACCTGCCAGGGGAACTTATTTCTGCTATCCTGACTGTAGTTTACATCCCATCCAACGTGGGCGTGAAGCGTGCACTTGATGAAATACACACTGCCACAAAAAGCCTTGAGACGGAGTACCCTGAAGCCTTGTTCATCGTAGGCAGTGACTTCAACCAGGCCAACCTCAAGACTGTGCTATCAAGATCCTATCAACACATCTCCTGTCCCACCAGAGGCCCAAACACCCTTGACCATTGCTACACGACCAAAGATGTCTACTGTTCCGTCCCCTGCACTCATTTTGGTAAATCAGACCATAATGTTGTGCTCCCTCTCCCTGCTTACAAGCAGAAACGAGCATGAAGATCCAGTTCAGAAAGTCATACAATGCTGGTCTGAGGTAACATATGAGGTCCTATGGACCAGTCCATATTCAAGAACTCAGCAGTCAACCTATACTAGTATGCCACTACTGTCACAGATTTAAAACAACTAACTGTCACAGACTTCTTCAGTAAGTGTGTAGAGGATTGCAAGCCAAAGAGGTTAATCCCGAGTATTCCCTAAACAGAAACCATGGATGAACTGAAAGATCCACTCCTTACTGATGTCCAGGTCTGAGACATTCAATCGGGTGACCCTGAACTATACAGGAGGTCTAGGTACGATCTTCACAAAGCCATCAGGGGCACCAAGAGGCAATATCAGACTGAACTAGAATCCCAGACTAACCACCCAAACACATATTGACTGTAGTAAGGCTTACATGATATAACTGGCCGCAAAGTCGAGTAGAATTGCTGACAATTGCTGCATCTCTCCGCTCACTTTAAATAGAAGGTCAGTGAAATGATGTCACCTGCATAGTCTCAGGTGCACCTGTACCCATAGTCACTGCCGCAGACATCTGATCTGCCTTCCTGAGAGTGCACTTATGGAAGGCGACTGGCCCGGATGGAGTCTCCAGCTGTGCGCTCGGATCATGCACAGACTAGTTGGTAGGAGACATCTTTAACCTCTCCTTACTCCAATGTGATGCTCCCACCTGCTTCAGGAAGACTACCATCAATCCAGTGCCAAAGCAAAATCAGGCAGTGTGCCTTAATGACTCTTGCTCAGTGGCTCTGACGTCCATCATTATGAAGTGCTTCAAGAGGTTAGTAACAGCACACATCAAATCCAGCCTTCCAGACTGTCTTGATCCTCTGCAATTTGCCTACCGTCTCAATAGATCCACACAGGACACCATCACCCTGGCCCTACACTTATTCCTGGAACATCTGGATAACAAAGATACCTACATCAGACTCCTACTTATTGTCTTTAGCCCCATCTTCAACACAATAATTCCAACTAAACTCATCCCCAAGCTCTGAGATCTAGGACTCTGCTCCCCTCTCTGCAACTGGATCTTCAATTTTCTGATCTGCAGATGACAATCAATCAATAAGGACAGGCATCAACACCAGCGCCCCACAAAGTTGCATACTCAGCCCCTTCTTGAGCTCCTTTTATACTCATGACTGTGTGGCCAAATTGAACTCTAACTCTATTTACAAATTTGCTGACACCACCATAGTGGGTCGGATCTCAAAACAACGACAAGACAGAGTACAGGAAAGAGATTGAGAGCTTAGCGGCATGGTGTAAAGGCAACAATCTCTTCATCAACGTCAGCAAAACAAAGGAGCTGGTCATTGAGGTTGTTGACTTGCTCGCCGAGCTGGCTTGTTTTCGTTCAGATGTTTTGTCACTGTGCTAGGTAACATCACAAGTGAGGCCACCGATGAAGTAATGTTGTTCTACCCCACTTGGAATTTATACTGTCCGGTCCGTTATGTCGAGTTATGTCATTTCCAGTTCTGTTCTGTATGGGTTTGTATATGGGGTCCAATTCTGTATGTTTGTTGATGGCATTATAGTTGAGAACCATGGTTCTAGGAATTCCCGTGCGTGTCTATGTTTGACTTGGGCTACTATGATTATGTTGTTCCAGTTAAACTGATGGCCTTTGTTATCGGAGTGTACTGATATTAGGGAAAGTTCGTCGTGTCATTTTGCTGTGAGCCGATGTTCATGTATTCTGATGGCTAGTTTCCTTCCTGTCTGTCTGATGTAATGTTTGTGGCAGTCGTTGCATGGTATTTTGTAAACTACGTTGGTTCTACATGTTGTGGGAATGGGGTTTTTAATCCTTGTGAGTGTTTGTTGTAGAGTGGCTGTGGGTTTGTGGGCTACCATGATTCCTAGTGGTCTTAGGAGTCTCGTTGTCAGTTCTGATATGTTCTTAATGTGGGGCAGTATGGCCAGTGTGTTCGAGCGTACTGTGTTGTCTTGGTGTCGTCTATTTAATAGGCACCTGCGAATGAAGTTGTGGGGATATCTGTTCATAGCTAAGATTTTGTCTAGGTGCTCTTCCTCTTTCCTGCATAGTTCTGGCATGTTGCAGTGAGTGGTGGCCCATTTAAATAGTGTCCTAACACAGCTTTGTTTGTGGACGTTGGGGTGGTTGCTGTGGAAGTTGAGGATTTGGTCAGTGTGGGTTGTTTTCCTGTATACTGAGGTTTGGAATTCCCCGTTGGTCATACATTCAACTCTGACGTCTAGAAATGGAAGATGATTATGTTTTCTTCTTCTCTCTTGAATTTAATCCCAGCGAATACATTGTTGATGAGATGGTGGGTATCTTCTATTTTGGTGCATTTAATGGTGGCAAATGTGATGTCCACGTACCGGATCCACAGTTTAGATTGAAGGAGGGGGAGGGTAGCGTGTTCTAGTCCTTGCCTCTGCGATGAGTCCTGAGATGGGTGACCCCATGGGTGTACCATTGATCTGTTTGTATACTTGACCATTAAAGACAAAGTGGGTGGTGAGGCACAGGTCTAGTGGTTTGAGTTGTTGTCATTGCTGATGGAGCTGCTGGTCTGCGTTCCTGCTTCTTCTAGTAATGTGGCCTGTGTTTCTTTGGCTAGTGGGAGGTCAATTGACGTGAATAATGCTGTGACGTCAAAGGATATCATAATTAGGTACTGCCCAGCGGAGTAGAACAACATGGCTTCAGAGGCCTCACTGATGATGTTACCTAGCACGGTGATGAAATGGCTGAACAAAAACAAGCCAGCTCAGCGAGCAATTCAACAACCTCATCCACAACCTGAACTACAAATCTTCGCAAAAACCTTAAGCTGGTCGTTGACTTCATGAAGCTAAATGGAGGGCATGCTCCTGTCTGTATCAATGGTGCTGAGGTGGGGATGTTCGAGGGCTTCAAGTAGGAGTAAATATCACCAACAATCCATCCTGGTTCATCCACTTCGAAACTATGGTCAAGAAAGTACACCAACACTACTACTTCCTCAGAAGGTTAAGGAGATTTGGCACATCCTGTTGGACAATAACCTGGTGTTGTGTGATTTCTGACCTTGTCCAACCCAGTTCAACGCCGGCACCTCTATATCATCACAAATACACACACACAAACACTCTCACTCACTAATACATACTCAGACAAATGCACAGAGACAAACACACTCTCTCACTCACTGACTAACACATACACACCTCCTCACTCATGAACACACTCTCTCACTCACACCAGCATACACACAGACTAACACACACACACACACACACACACACAGATACACAGGCACTAACACACAAATGTTCTCTCTCATACACAGACACTATCACACACACTCACTCATATTAACACACACACTCTTACTCACACTAAAGTGCGCACACACATACACTCTCATTCACACTTTTGAAGAGAAAATTGGCTTGATGGTTGAAGACAAAGGGTGGTGGTAGAGGGTTGTTTGTCAGACTGACAGGCTGTGACCAGCGGTGTGCCACAAGGATTGGAGCTGGGTCCACTGTTATTCTTCATTTGTATAAATGATTTTTGGATGAGAATTTAGGAGGAACGGTTAATAAGTTTGCGGATGACTCTAAGATTAGAGGTATAGTGGAATATGTGAAAAAGGTTATCTGGGAATACAGCGAGATCTTAATCAACTGGGCCAGTAGGCTGAGGAATGGCAGATGGAGTTTAATTTAGATACATGCAAAGTGTTACATTTTGGTGGCTGAAACCAGGGTGAGATTTACACAGTCAATGGTAGGGCCCTGTGAAGTGTTATAGGGGTACAGGTTCATAGCTTCTTGAAAGTGGAGTTACAGGTAGACAGGGTGGTGAAGAAGGCTTTTGACAAGCTTGCTTTAATCAGTCAGAGCATTGAGTATAGGAATTAGGTTGTCTTGTTGCAGCTGTACAAGACATGGTGAGACTACATTTGGAGGACTGCATGCAATTCTGGTCACCCCACTACAGAAAGGATATTATTAAACTAGAGAGAGTGCAGCAAAGTTTGATCAGGATGCTACCTGGACTGGAAGGTTTGAGTTACAAGGAGAGGCTGGATAGGCTGGGACTTTTTGTTCCTGGAGCGTAGTTGACCTTTCAGAGAACTATAAAATGAGAGGCATAGATAAGGTAGATAGTCAACAGCTTTTCCCCATAGTAGAATAATCTAAAACTGGAAGGTGTAAGTTTAAGGTGACAGGGGAGAGATACAAAAGGGTTAAGCCGGGCAACGTTTTCACACAGAGGGCAGTGAGTGTCCGGAATGGGCTGCCAGAGGTAGTGACGGAGGCGAGTACATAAGATTTGGAAAGATAGGGTTTGATTAGGAGTAGTCAGCATGGCTTCGTACGTGGGAGATCATGCCTCACAAATTTGTTCAAGTTCTTTGATGAAGCAACCAGGAAGATTGATGAGGTCTACATGGATTTCAGTGAGGCCTTTGATAAGGTTCCACATGGTCGGCTGCTCTGGAAGTTTAGATCGCATGGAATCCAGGGAGAGCTGGCAAATTGGATACACAGAGATAGTGGGAACTGCAGATGCTGGAGAATCCGAGACAACAAGGTGCAGGGCTGGATGAACACAGCAGGCCAAGCAGCATCATAGGAGCAGAGAGGCTGACGTTTCGGGCCTAGACCCTTCATCAGAAAAGCCTTTTCTGATGAAGG